CCATTAAACTAGTCTTTTAACCCTAGAAAAGTTCCTATAGTTCAATCACAGGAACTAAATGGAATGAGGGAATAAGGAATTGAGGGCTCAAAGGGACCCTGATACAAACCAGCACCTTCCAGGTGTGCAGTCTGTAAGTGTGTTTCCACCCAGGGAGGAGCAGCGCTCGTGTAAGACGGCTGTGCTAGTGCAGTGGTAGCGGAGGGACAGTGTTCAGGGAGCTGCCTTTGCTTTCGGAGCGTTGGAGACCCATTCCTGCTTCCTCGGTGGTCTCAGCCGAAAGGCCTGTTCCCGAGACGTGCAATAGCAGTGTGGAGAGGTCGTGCTGTTCAGTAGCGATGCAGACAGACTTCCCGGACTCCCCCCATATTGAATGGTTTAGTCCGCATGCCTGCTTGAAAGTGGCCCTCTCAGCAGCACTTTGGAATAGTTTCATTAGGTGGCTTAACATTTTGTACATTAAATAAGTAAATACTGATGGGTTGACTGAATTAGATATTTAAAATTGTGAAAGCACGAAAAATACCTTTTGGAATTAAAGGAGAAAAGCCATTGGTTTGTTTTCCCAGACGCTCTCTTTCATAATTAACTGTTTCAGCACAGGGGTGCCTGGGAAGCGAGGACACCATTGGAACTGAGTCAGAGCAACTTCCTAGGAACGAGTGTTGGTGGATCCTCGGTCCGTAAACCTGCCCCGGAGGCCTCTGCGTGGTGTGGGCCTCTAGGAGGCTGATGGTGACCCGCTTCCTCTTTGAGATCAGTTAATCTGGGGAAGCTTTTGTGTGTGTGTGTGTGTCCTTTTTTAAATGAAAGTTTACAACCTTAGCTCAAGTGTCTGAGACAGACCGTTCTGTTTGTAAACTACCTCCTCCCTGGAGAAGTCTCAGATCCATATTTTTTTGGACATCCACGGAGTTCTTAGCATCCACGGGTGACGTACCACTTCGGACCAGTACACTGGGGAGACTTCCGTTTGGTAGCCGTCGCTGGTATCCATCACCAGCCACTCAGCCAGGATGAGTGTTGGTGGGCGAAGGCAGCCTAAGTTGGGACCGGGGAGCAGGTTGCATGAGTCTTTGAGACATCTGCTGCGATTATCTTAGCTCTCCGTCTGCTCTGGTCCATATCTACTCAGTTGTTTGCTGGAAACTGTTTAACTGCCAGGCTCTCTGGAGGGGAAAAGAAGCCCTGACGTGTAGCATTTGCCGATTCCCATGTGAGATTTCCTCCCTGTAGGGCTGATTTTAGCTACCACCTTGGAGCTGAGAGGGGACGCGCACAGCCGCACCCTCAGCCAGCAGCCCGCTGCCTTCATTCCGCCCTGGGGTGGTGGATTTTCACATAGTTTCTAAAACATTCTTTTTTTCATATGCTGATTTTTAAAAATACAAAATTAAAACCACATGTCTGACTTCAGTAATCTTTTTTTTTATGGTTTGTCACTGCTTTTGTGATGTTAGATTCCTCATGGAATATTTTGTGTGTTCAAACAAAGGTGGAAACTGCCATTGATTTTTTAAAAAATTTATACGTAATGAGAATCCAGAAACCCTCTAAAGGTCAACCTTCAGCTTCTTAGAGTTAAAATATAGGTTGAATTTTTCTTCTTATTTTTATGGTTAAAAAATAAGTTTAATTCTTTTTCTTTAAATGTTGATGGGAAAAGTAAGCTCATGAGCCTATACTACATAGTAAAAGGGTCTGGAATATATATATATATATATATATACACACACACACACACACACACACACACACACACACACACACATATTTTAATTGATTTCCAAGAGGGAGGGAAAGGGAGAGAGAGATAGAAACATCAATGATGAGAGAGAATGATTGATCGGCTGCCTCCTGCACGCCTCCCACTGGGGATCGAGCCTGCAACCCAGGCATGTGCCCTTGACTGGAATTGAACCCAGGACCCTTCACTCTGCAGGCCGAAACTCTATCCACCGAGCCAAACCAGCTAGGGCTGGATTTTATTTTTTTAACTGGAAGAATTTCTTAAAGATTTATGTACTATGTTAGAGATAAAAAAAAGGCAGAACTATTTATCTGATACAGTTTCTAGCTTCTCCATATTATGTGTCACTTAAGCTGTCTGTTGCTAGTATTACTTCAGCTCCCTTCACATCTGTCAGTGTATCATGTCCTCTAGTGACATTGTTTCATCCTGACCTCAGAATTTGTGTTATGTTTCTAAAGTTCTAAAAGGCAGTTCTCTGTGTTTCTAGTGAATTTTAAGCACCTTAGAGACACTCATTGGCATTTCAGCAAAGCAGTCTCCAACCTTTTTGACCAGACACCTTGATCAGTTAAAGTTTTTGAACACCAATTCCCTCTTGCAAATTCGTACCTGTTAAGTTATATACTGCTATACTGAAGTAATATGTACATAAGACATACACAAAAATAGAAATAGGATGGCATAAAAAGTAAGTCTTGAGGCCCTGGTGGGTGGCTCAGTTGGTTGTAAGTTCGTCCTGCACACCAAAAGATGGCAGGTTCGATTCCCTGTCAGGGCCCATACTTAGGTTGTGGGTTCGATCTCTGGTTGGGCGAGTACAGAGGCAACCAGTTGACGTTTCTCTCACATCGATGTTTCTCTTTCTCTCCCCCTTCCTCTCTCTAAAGGAAAAAAAAAGTAAGTCTTGAGTAGAAGTTCTGTTTTTTGCTGCACCGGTGGCTTGTCTGGCCACACGCACTCTAAGGACCACTGACTCAGGATATTGCTTCTCAGTTTAATGTTGAAAAAAACCAACCAACCGTGGATGCTTTTGTTGGATGTATAGAGAAATCCTTTACATGTCTGATCTGATTTTCATGTAAAATCTCTCGTGGAGATTTGGAATTTTTCAGGAGAGCTTGTCATCAACTTTCTGAAATTTCATATTCATCCTTTTTCATAAGTCACCAAGTAACCCATTACCAAATGGTTTCCAGAGCTTCATGAAAATTGTTTTGGACAGGCTATTGCCTCTTTTTCCTTCATAGTAGGTGTAACTCTGTAATGTGCTTTTATTTTACTAGTCTGCTCACAAACTTCTCTGGCCTTATTAGTATTATATTTTACCAATAAATTCAGAATTATTTTAAGTTGCTTTATGTTAAAATACTTTTCTTGATGGGTCTGTTCTGTGTGTCACTTCATTTATTTTACTTATCCATGCCAGAAAGCTAGGCCTGCACTGAGGCACCATTCTTAGGTGTGTAAACAGGTGTGGAGACAAAGCAGGTCTCTGAGCAGAAACCTGGAGCTCTGAAGAATTAAAAGTTAAAAGACGCATGATATATGCAGTCTTTTATCTGAGGGTGTGAGAATATATCGTTTCTAAAAAGGAATCAAGAAGCTAATTAGTCCATAGTAGTGAAGTGGAGGTAAACCATAGTTGTGTTTTTTTAGCAGGTACTCTGACCAGAAAATGGGTTCTATGGAAAGTATTTTGTTACCTTCTCGATTTGGAGCAAGTAAATGTTTTGTTACTGTTTTTAATGCTGCAGGCATAGCCTGCAACAAGGTGCTCTGTTATTCCTCTTAGGTCAGAATTCTGCTTTCCGAAGCCAATGTTTTAATCTTAGGATCTGGAAATCTTGTGGGTGGTAGTGTATTAAGCAAGAAAAGAAGGCGGTTTGATTTCATTTCTCATACTTGGTGGAACCTGTTATATATAAAAATCAAGTTTTGACCTGTAAGCAGAGCAGATCTGAAAGGTGAGTTGTTTATGTAGTATAAATATTTTACTT